GTTCATAAAGTCTTTTCCTATGCCAATGTCTTCAAGAGTTCTACCTAACTTATCTTCCAGCAAGTTTAGCATTTCTGTCTTAATATTTATTTTATCCTTTTATTGGTACATTTTAGGTATATAATATAATGACATTCATCATTGGAAATTTGCACCTTTACATACTCTCTTGGTTCTTATTTTTTCCCACTTCCCCTGCCCTCCCTTCAACCCCTCCATCCTTCCATATTTACAGAGACTTCGTTTCCTTTTTTTCATTTTCTCATATTAATTCCATTACCTTCTTTCCTTTCCCCGTACCGCTCTCACTTCCCCTTGCCCTTTGCCACTTTTATTCCTATTTCACATTATCTGTTATACCATTTAGTCCTTATTTACACTTTCAGTTTCTCACACTAGAGAAACTGTTTGGCATTTATACACATGTGTCCTCTTTATTTCTCTTAAGAGTATCGCCTCAATGTGAAGATCCCCAGCAGGGGAATAGCTGGGTCAATTGGGACTTCCAGCCCTAGTTCTTTGAGGTACCTCCATACCGATTTCCACAGTGCTTGCACCAGTCTACACTCCCACCAGCAGTGGAGAAGAGTTTGTCTTACCCCACAGCCCCACCAGTATTTGTTACTGGTTGATTTCTTCATAGTAACCATTCTTTCTGGAGTGAGGTTGAATCTCAGCGTTGTTTTGATTTGCATCTCTCAAATGTCCAGTGATGTGGAACATTTTTTCATGTGTTTATTTGCCATTTCTACTTCTTTGTGTGAGAAATGTCTTTTGATATCAGAAGCCCATTTTTGGACCGGGTCTTTAAATTTGGGATTTCTGATTTTTTTAAAGTTCTTTATAGATTTGAGATAGTAGACCTTTGTCTGAGGACCACTGATGAAAATTTTTCCCCACATTGTGGGTTGTCTATTCACATCATTGGTGGTTTCTCTTGCTATGCAGAAGCTTTTTAGTAAGAAGAGATCCCACTTGTTGATTGTACTAGTTCATGGGCAACTGAAGTTTTGTTCATAAAATCTTTCCCTACCCCAATGTCTTCAAGAGTTCTTCCTCAACTCTGCTCTAGCCGGTTAAGCATTTCTGTGTTAATATTTACATCTTTAATCCATTTCAATATTAGTTTAGTGCATGGTGAGAGATATAGGTCTAGTTTTAGTTTTTGGCAAGTTGAAACCCAATTTTTCCAGTACTGTTTATTAAAGAGGCTATCTTTCCTCCAGTGAGGGTATTTGGCTCCTTTGTCAAAGATGAGATGGCTGAGTGTGTCTGGAGTTGTTTCTGTATCTTCTAATCTGTTCCACTGGTCCTCAGGTCTGTTTCTTTGCCAGTACCATGCTATTTTTATCACAGTAG